GAAATCCTGCTCCCACTGCCAAGGCCACTATGAGTCTTATGGCCCCCGAGGCACCACGTGGGCCTGGGAGTCAGCTCCTTGTCACCCCAGAGGTAGCATCCAGGCCCCTGGAACACCAGATCCACAAAAAGACTGGACATACACCATTTGGGATGTGTCTCATAGCTTAACCACAATGCTGCCACTTTGCGTCTAAGCCCACAGGTCAGAATGGCAGCACTTAGGGTGAGGCAGGCACTAGCTAATGTCCACATCTTGAAACTTAATTCCTAACAGATCCTGAGTGCACATTCCAACAGACCTTGTCCCCTGACTCCCTCCCTGCCTATGAGTCCTCCTTACATCCCTGTGAAGAGATGATGGGGGGTGCCATTATCACCTTTTACGGACAGGGAAACTGAAGCTCATTTATCACAAGCTGGGGGTTGAGAACTCACAGATGATGAGGGAAAACAGTCCAGCCTTTAGCTGCTCTTCCTTCCCCAAAATTCATTTCTCTTCCTTCCTCTCCTCATCAAACCTACCTTCAGCTACCCAGAGACCCACAGAAGTGCCTGCCTCCCCAGTACACATGGGGCACAGAGAAAGGGGACACGATGAGAAAGAGAGAAGCAACCCCAGGCTCGGCGAGGGGGCCGGCTCCTCACTGCTTGGGTTGGGGTCATCCAAGGGTTCAAAAGGGGTGGGGTCTGGGGCAAGTGGCTTTTGTGGCGACACACTCTGTCCTGAGGAAATCCCAGAGGAAGTCAGTTTGGAATTGGGCTCCCTGCTCCCAAGGCATGCAGTTTCCCCGGACAATACAGGAGGCATCATCTGGCTTTGGGGGAGCACAGGTGGCTTTCTGCTTGCCTTGGGGGTACCTGGCATGTTTCTGGGGCTCCCTTCACATCTCAGGTTTCTTTTTTTTTTTTTCAACGTTTATTTATTTTTGGGACAGAGACAGACAGAGCATGAACGGGGGAGGAGCAGAGAGAGAGGGAGACACAGAATCGGAAACAGGCTCCAGGCTCTGAGCCATCAGCCCAGAGCCCGATGCGGGGCTCGAACTCACGGACCGCGAGATCGTGACCTGGCTGAAGTCGGATGCTTAACCGACTGCGCCACCCAGGCGCCCCAACATCTCAGGTTTCTATCCCGCTCGAAATCTCTCTTTAGGACAAACCGTTCCTGCTGAAAGTGACTGTATCTTCTGTCCCCAAAGGAGGGCTTGGGCCCTACATCCTCTGGCCGTCTTCTCCCTGATGCCCAGAGTTCCCGTGAATGCCTTGTCTGAAGCCCCTGTGCCTGGGACCCCAGGGTCTGCTGGACTTTGCCCAAACTTGACACCCCGGAAGGCAAATAAAACAGCTTAAATAGGTGATTTCTCACGTCTTCGTGAGAGGTTAGCCTCCACCAGGGTTGTCCTCTGCCTGGGGGCATCAGTGGGCAGAGGGGGCCCTGATTCACAAGGATCTCTGTCCTTGGCGTGTGACCTGGTGCCCAGTTTGCGTTGGCTCTTATGAGTTTGCTGAGTTAAGAATGGTAAGATTTCTGCACTTAATGTTCTCCTTCCTCACGACCCACACTGCTTTTGTTCTATGCACAGAGAGTTTGAGTACTTGCCTATGGTCACACAGCAAAGTGGGTGGCACTAGGATTTGAATCACGATCGTGCTGACCCACAGCGTGTGCAAAAATTCCCACTCCCTGTGTGTTCTCCCCACAGCCCTGACTCAGAATGCCATTACCACTTTTTACAGATGGGGAAACCGAGGCCCTGCCGGTTGATGCCTTGTCCCACAGGTCATGGCCAGGGAGAAGTGGGCCAGAATGTCAACCCAGGCCAGCTTCTCTGGAGCTGACAAATGTCCAGTCTGTTGGGACCTGGATCAGGAAAAACTCTTTATGAGGCTTTTAAATTTGGGGGGG